CTTGTGGAACTTGCGGTGCGTGTGGGACCTTGTGCTTCGTTGCATCTTGATTCCCCAACAATTCCAACACAATCTCAAGTCATCAACAAGGTGCACTGACCTAGTTCAAATCCCTAATGAAAAAAAATCGATACGAATGGGCGGCATGATGCCGATACACTGAAGCTGCTCAGGCTCTAGGTCAGATATCGAAATACGGCAATTTCGACGAACGCCGCAGCTGGTTCGTAAAAATTTGGCTAAACAGGAACGAGAGGTAAAAGACGGCGGGATAGTACAGTTGATCAGTTTAAATTAGTGTAAGCGTGGGATGTGATAATCGGGGAAATTGAGAAATGTGAAAGTGAAACAAACCTAGTTGAAGCTGATGCACTTGCGGGACAGCGTCGACATTGGGCTGGGCAGCTTGGGGATTGTGTTGTAGAACCTGACGGGATGGTGGTTGTTCGTTGAGCGGCTGCACATCCATCACCCGCACCACGTCGTCCCTCAAAGTGCGAGCCGCCCATGGTTCCATTCCGGCTTGATCGCCCTGGTGCCCACCTTTGTCCACGCTCCCACTACTGCTACTCTCGCCCTCTCCTCGCCCAGTATCCCCATAATTCGGTCCTTCTCCTACGATATTAACTTGTCTCTGAACACCTTGCAAGCTCTGCTGCTGATGTTGATGATGTTGCTGCTGCTGATGGTGTTGTTGTTGCTGCTGCTGATGGTGTTGTTGTTGCTGCTGCTGATGGTGTTGTTGTTGCTGCTGCTGATGGTGTTGTTGTTGCTGCTGCTGATGTTGGTGCTGATGATGGTGTTGCTGATGATGCTGCTGTTGATGGTGCTGCTGGTGGTGTTGCTGCTGCTGCTGAATAGCTCGCTCGCGCTCACTATCTAGCTTCAAGACCTCGGCGTACGCAGGGCCGAACTCTTCACCGCGAGAGAGGATGTCCCGGAAAATTTCGCGTTGGGTGCCGGCTAAACCCACGCCGAGTGCAGCACCGGCATCGCGAAAGCTGTAAGTTGCGGTAGGCCGCCCCCACAGCCCTGGATGAGAACCCGGGGGCACGGCGTCGCTCAGGCTGACGGGAACCCGAGGCGTGTAGCCGAAGCCCAGTGACAGATCCCCGTCTTTGAGCGGCCCTCCCTCCACCCTGCCTGCTGTAGTGACACCCCCTTCTCCTCCTCCCCCTCCCGTTGTCACTGCCGGCGCCACACTTGCCACTGTGCCAGCTCCGAATCTCTCCACCTTCACTCCCTATCTCAATAGCACAACATCACCTCTCCACCACGGACGCCACCCCAATTCGCAATTCACAGTCCTCCGCTCACCCAACCACCGCAAACAGCCACTCTCTCTCGCACCTGCTCTCTCTGTACCTCTCTCGCTCTCTCTCTCTCTCGCTCACTAATTCTCTCGGGCCCCACCCTTCGGCTACTACCACTCCGAAACGAAAACAACGGAGAATCGCAATCTCTCTTTCTCTCCTCCACTGATGCGTAGCCTAGCTCACCTCGTCACATCTCCAGCAATCGCTTCTTCGCCCGAATCAAACAAGAATCGAGCAGCAGCAACACAGGCGACCAAAATTTGTATGATTAAAAAAAAACGAAAAAAAAAAAAAAAAAAAAAAAAAAGAGGGGGGGGGGAGAGAGAGAGAGAGAAGGTTGCAATCGCAAGCAGCTGCCAGAAGTTCCTTCTACACTGCTGTGCAATCCGGCACCTACTAGTGACTACTCCCAGAATCGAGGAACACACCGCCCGGGGCAAAATCACTATTAACTCCAGCACCTTACAACGACGAATTGTTCTTCTTCTTCGTCCCCTGCTGCTGCTGCTGCTGCTCGCCAGGTTGTGTGCAAGGCTATTCCGAACTACAGCTTATCAGGTGGGACTTGGCTCGGAAGTATCACGGAAAGACACAAGCGCGAAGCGTGCAGGTGCAACCGCCTGAGGGAAAGCAAAACCCCGTGATGGTGCTATGAATGGTGGCGCAGGCGGTTGGTTGGAGCTTGGAGCTGCTGAGAGCATGGAGTGGCAGCAGGCAGGGAGAGTGTGCCCACTCAAAGGCAGCACTACGACCACCTCGGCAGCCCTCGTCGTAGAATAGGAACAGGAATACCAGGAGCAGGGGGGTGAGGCTAGCTCGCTAGGAGTAGATGTCACGAGCGAGCAGGTGCGAGGAAGATGATACCACTACGATGCCGCTGCTTGGCGCATACATAGATACACAGATAGCTCCTCATCAAACTCTCGAGGCTATCGACAGTTGCAGCCGAGAATTGAAGGTGCCGCTGCCTTTCCTCTTTTCCCTTTCCTCTAGCTCTCTGTTAGCCAGTTTTCTTTGGCATGGGCTAGTTCAAAGATGTGGCGGCGAAAAGCTCGGCGCAGCGTTGCCAAAGCCAGACACGAGCCGGGGCACCCTGCCTGCGCTCGCCGCAGCAGAACCTGGTGCCACTACCGCTGAGCAACTTACAACTACACCAACACTCCCACTCACTCCAAGTTGGGTGCCCCCCGATGAATGTAGCTGCCAGGCCCCTCGCCTTCCTCCCGCACACGACCCAGAAGACCCGAATCGCTGATGATGCTGGTTGTGACTGATGATTATGAGACTTTCATTGCCCCCAGGAACCAGCCCTCCTTCCGCCCCCTGCCGTTCCCATTCCCATCCTAGTCAGGTAGACCCTAGAACTCTCCCGATGCTTATTTTAGCCACGGCGTAGCGTCTCTCCCGGCCATAAAGTGCTGCCACTCTCCTCCCATTTTCTGCGGATATTTATGACTCGTGAATAAATAAAGGATTTCCGGAATTACCAAAGAAAAACCATCTCCTCAATAAGCCGCCCCACCGAGGCAAGCAGGCACCCCCGCCTCTCCCCCCCACACCTTCGATTGCCAAAAGCGCAATCCTCCCGCTCCGGCCACTTGGCCTACTTCCCCCTCTAGTGTACTCATCCATCGGGTCAGTCTTAGGGTTGAACTTCATTCCCCCCTCTCTCTGTGTCTCCCTTCCTATCAGTCTCTGAGCCTGGATCGAGAGACAGACATCCCACACACCCATAGCAATACAGGCAAGAAAAAGATATCCAGCCACCGAGGAAAGGAAGCAAGAAAGAGAGAGAGAGAAAGGAAAAACAACGAACAAATTCAAGGAAAGATAGCAAGACAGAAAGAAAGAAAGAAAAATAATATGGGGCACCGCGGAGGCTGCGAATTAACTGGGGAGCCTTCGTCATCGTAATATCCGCCGAGCCCCAAGGATTTTCTCGATGTTGGTTGATTCTTCACATTCATATGATGATTATTATTATTATTATCATCATCGTCAAAAATACAACTTTATTAATATTTATTATTGTAATTACTATTATTATTATCATTTATCTCCTCCCACATCGACAGGTATTCTTCGCCAGGAGGCGTATTCCAGGATCATACAAAGTTTGTGGGGTACAGTATTGGTATGAGTTGACTTTAGAAACGCACACCCACACACACACTCTCTCACACACACACACACATCTATATATATATATATATATATACACATCTATATATACGAACACACACACACTTCGCTTTCTTCCCACCCCAGTAATGGCTCTCTTTTTTCAAGGACTTTTCGTGCTCCCGCATTGCATTGCTCAGGAGGAGGAATTCCCATATTCTGTTTCTGAACACATTGGTGGACAAGAGAGCCCCCTTGTCTCTGAACCCACGGATGAACGATGTCGCACTCGAATTTCATCCTCGGGGGCTGAAATTCGGGGCCACAGGGTCCTCCTGTGCATGGTCCCCTGCTGCCCGGGCACCAGGCCATGCACAGAACTCATCTTCATCATCTTCTCCTTCTTCTTCTTCAGCTTAATGCAAATTGGTTTCTACCACTGGTAGCACGTCCCTCCCTCCCTCCCTGGACAGAGAGAGAGAGGCTCTGCATATCAGCCACGGTGACGCCCTCGTAGACTCGAGCTCGCGGAAACGAATTCTGGGGGCAGCAGCAGCAACCGATTCTACGATGCGATGGCGAATGTAAGTGACGCCATCAAAATCCTCGCTTTTCCCATTCATACTCCCCTCCTCCCTCTCCACCCCATCCCAATTGGGACCCTTCCCTTGAGCCTTTTTTGCCGTGTGGGGGGGAGAGACAGATAAATTAAATTGCAAGATCTGCCCGAAGCCTTCGAACTGGATGAACGAGTTCTCCCAAAATGCATCCTTCTAATGGCCCAGTCTGGAGGGTGGATTCGCCACCAGCCAGCCGTTTCGGAACAGAGAGTCGGAGTAGGACCTGCTTCGTTGTTGATACCCCCCCTCCAATCCCGCTTTCCCCCTTTTTGTGTGTTTGTTTGTGAGGGTGTTGCCTTTGGTTCAGACTGGCGCAGCAAATCTCACTCGACTGGCAACACAATTTTGCAAATGCTGGGCGGCAGTGAGAGGAGGAGGCCACAGGAGACCTATTTTTCTGTTCACTTCAGGCTTTTCCGTTTCCTCCATTGTTGTTGTTTTGCGGCGAACCAGAATAGCTTTTTATATATATAAATATATACACACACACGTGTGTGTGTGAGTGTAATTCATTTTCGTTTTCTAGTGAGAATGTCTCCTTGGTTTCCCCTAATTGTAGACTATAATGAAAAATTTCGATTTGTAGACATGACTTAAAGAGATGTAATCATTTTTTTATGTTTTTTGGAGCTACATGGCAGTAATAACTTCTTGAAATATATTGGGATTTATATCTGTATTATTGATTCCGTGCTACAATTATGCTAAATCTAAAAAGAACAATCACGCATACAATTCAAGTTTAAAATTCTTCACTAGTTTTCTTTCTTCTATTTTCTTTTCTTTTAGTCTGTAATTTCTTCAAAAACATGTATATATATATATATATATATATATACGTAGTTTAGTCTCACAAAATGATCACATCTTTGAGGAGAAGAAGGAAACAGAAAGATAGGAAGAAGCATACAGAGTTTCATAGCAAAGGACACAACAAACCCGAGTGAAATGTCTAGAACTCTTTCCCCAAAACAAAAGGGAAAACTTTCTATCATATTTCAATAAAATTCTTCACTCTTTTGTGGGCCCTTTGAGAGAATAAAGTGAACTCTCAAGTGTACTATTACAAGTGACAAACCTAGTGCAAAATTAACAAACAGTTCCAAAAACAATATTACATGTCCTGTAAGTTGATTAAACAGCAAACTAGTTCTAACCAGCACAGCCTTTGTCCAGGAAAGGAGTTTCATATTTTCTTCCACTAAGGAGCTTGTTCTTATGTAATTTTTCCCAGCTCTTACAGTATGGGGAGCAATATCAACAAAAGCCAAACATGGAATTGGAATATGCCCAAATCACAGAAAATTTATTTCACATGTTTGGACTCAAATCCAGGTCATGTAATGTAGCTCTGTGCCTACATGATTTGGGCTCAACCTACACTCAACAATAAGATAGACACACTGCTGCCACTACTACTATGCTAAGGAATGCACACATCACACTTTGAAATATTGTGCCTTTTCACAAGAAAACAAGCAGCTGGTTCATGTTCAGGATTGTGGCACATGTGGAGATACTTTTATAATAGTATATGTTTTGGTTATTTGACCAGCAGTTTCTGTTTTACACTGTTAAATTGGATGTATGGCAGAGCCAGTTTTATGCTTCAACAGTTATCCAGCACTATTCTTCAGGCAATGCATGCCACTATCTAGAAATATATATATATATATATATATATAAACATTCACTCCTAAAGCCTTCATGAGTAACAACCATTTAAAGCAGCAGGAAACCAATAAAGCCCTAATTGATGACTGAATGGGTTTTCTAACACAATCTGCTTTTAAGCCTGGTCTTAACAAGCACAGGAGGAGGGGAAGGGCAGAATGATAAATGCATGGCTGGCTGGTTCAGTGGCCACTGTGAAATAGTGGTACCAATTCAGTTATATTTGTTTCCTCGACTACTGTGAGGGTGGAGAAGAAGTAAAGACAATGAGGAAGAATGGAGGGGCCAGTGATGGCCTCTTTCCCTCTGGTCTGGGCCTGGCCCTAGATTTGTGGTGGATGAGGTGTAGGGGCACTGTGGGTGATAGATAGATAGATAGATAAATAAATAGATAGACAGACAGACAGACAGAGAAATAGATAGAAAGAGAGAACGATGGATGGGGGAGTAGCTGGCTCCGACACATTCCTTGGTTAAGACAGTGAGTGATATAACCCACCCAACACAACAC